TTGTCGCAACAAACGCTATTTAATATTGTGACAAATAGCGTCGTCATTCTGCTCAGTAACGCCGCTTTTAGCCGTTTTGGCGCTATAGCGACGCTATTCAATAAAAACAGACGACATGGGAAGATATATAATATGAAGAAAGATCGAATGAGAGGTTTCGAAGTTACATAAGAGTATTAAAAAAAGGCAAAATATAATGATAGTCTCTGAGTCCCATCCAAGTTTCTGCAACTTTAATTCTTTTATTTTCTCCTTATCCTAGTCGAACATCTTGTAAGCAAGATCTTAACAAGATAATTTGTATGTGTATATCTTGGATGCATCAAATAAATCTGTTCTACCGATCTTGTTAAGATCATGGAAAGGATATCATTCACTATTATCTTCTCACAAGATCTTGAAAAAAACAAAAAGCGACATCATTAGTTTATTGGTTACACACTGACTAGTCATTCACCGGTTTTTTATGCATACAGAGCCGTATATAAACAACGTGATTGCACATATGAAACATATATTTTTCGAAATATTTTTTTCTGAACTCTTTCTCGACTATTAATCATTCGAGAAATTGCTGATCTCGATCGCTGATCGAGAGAGGACTACCTGAAGCCGTCTGATGGAGATTGAACTATCTCAAAAACAGGCAGGTTCGAGGGTGTGGGTGTGTAAAGGAATAGAAGACCCACAGCCACAGCCACACCCATACCCACACCCTCCTATTTTTTCACGAATAGGCCGGATAGTGCCAAAAGTCGATATTGACCAACTTTTCATAGGAAGGCTATCAGAATGTGAAATTTTAGGGTTGGTAGTTTTAGACATTGAAGTGTTAAATGAATGACAAAAAAATCGAAAAAAAATTTTTATCGAGTGCCTCTTAGCCTCGATGGTCTCGTGGATCCTCTCTTGATTGCTGATGTCATTCACATTTATCTCTTTCAATAACTTAGGAAAATAATGAATAAAGGAAAACAAAGGTTACAGATTTGCTGAATGATAGAAAAATCAAATTGACGAATATTTTATATAGACAACAAAAAAATTAAGACATAATTGTTATATCTAGAGCACAAATATAATTATATCATAAACATAATGCATCAGATTTAAAATAGCGTGCAAAGTAAAGCATAATATTAACTGTCCGATATAAACCGTCAGTTTTGTTAATATTAAATGGATCATATAAAGACATAAATCGAGCAAATTTATAATAATAACGAAAAGGTGCCATATAATATTGTGCTAAATGATGATTGTTAACATTTGCAAAACAACTTGCTAAAACATTGTTTATTAATAAAGTACCTTTCATTGTTAACGGAGCATAATAACCTTTTTTCACGTGAAAATGA